GAAGAGTCCAAAGTTCTCTTATCCATTGAAATTTCATATCCGAAAAAATAAGCAAGAAAAATCCAGTTTTTTCATGGGATTCATCGCCTCGATCACGACTCTTCTGGATTGTTCCTGCATCCCACTCAAGCCATATTAGACTGTAAGTCTGTAAACTTTTCTTGTTCAAAATACCTTTGTTTAGTCTTGTTTGGTTGGATTGAATTCATGCTATTTATAGAGAACACCAACTGTTTGTAAAGTTGTCACCGTGAATCACATTTCAGCTCATTTTCTCTTATTCTCATGGAAGCTGAAGGGCCTCACTCGCCAACCTCGAAGGTAATCCTTAAAGTTTTTACACAGGCTGACATGCCAGCCTCTAGAAGTTGTTTGAACAGTTACATTAGTCCATGACGTATAGGGTTTGAAATATATATGGGATAAGAATTATATTACGAAATACAACCTATAAAAATGTGAATAGCTGAGAACCTTAAACATGGGAATGTACTTCTTTGCTAATTATTTCTATTGTTGCTGATGACTGTTAAGTCTTTAGAGTCAAATTGTTTTATCGTTTGAAATTGCAAAATATTCTTTCCCATGTTCATTTCAGTCTAGAAAAATTAAACTCTGTCTGACAGGGCGACTACAGGCTTCAATGGCATTATAATCTTTTCACATTAACAGCAGTAAAACCTAGAATTACTACTGGAAAATTTTTAAAAGATCATTGGGACAGGCTGTTCTCCACAATAGTTATTACCCATTTAGACACCTACACTTTTGTAAGTGTATTTGGAGATTCAGAAATTTGTAGCCTTTGAACAGTGTAATGGTAAGAAACCACAACAATAATCTTGTTTAACAGGTTCTAAATTGGGATGATGCCTTCCATTGTGATATAATTAAACTCACTGATAAATCTAGAAAATTTTGGTGAGTAGATTGCAAATGGACTATGCAGTCTTAGATCATTGCTTGATTAGATTATTCTGCTACTGGGTTCATATATAAAGCAATTTCAGCAAGTTTAATACAATTGGAAGTGTACGCCTATAATTCTGAAGTATTGTTTCAAGTGATTTGTTAATTCAGATTTTGTAAGGTCTTCATGGTCTTGCTTATACCAATGAGTTTGACTAGCTTAATGATGACCCTAAGCAGAGCTCAACTGTTTGTAAATCCAGAGTTAACAGTGCAATTTGTGGTTGGTTTCTTTTACGGAATTAAAAAAAAATTACAGTGTCTTCAAATTAGGCCTCTTATTTGTACTGCAAGATATGATGATGGTATTCCACTATTTCAGGAAACAAGCGTTGCCACCTCATTTTTTTTCCTCAGCACGAGGTGTCATCTCAAAGAATTGAGTGGGAAGTTTCGTATCACCTCTTGTTTTCTTCAAGTAGGTTTTATCTCATTTGACCCTAGATGAACTTCTTCAGCAATAGATTTTGGCTTCCTCTAGAGCTAATGGTTGATTGGGTAGATTATGTAGTTTAAAGATCACATGAGCGTCCTCCACCCTCACAATCAACTCACACTTCTCCATATCAATCAAAGTTCGACTTGTTTTTAAAAAGGGTCGACCTAAGATAATTGACATATCGTGGTCGTGTTCAAGGTCCATAACAAGGAAGTCCGCCGGGAATATCAGCTTCTCAACCTTGATGAGCACATCCTCAACCTTGCCCCATGGGTATCTGATGCTCCTATGTTCCAGCTGCAGCATCACATTCAATCATTTGACTTCACCCACTCTTAGTTTCCTAAAAGTAGACAAAGGCATTAAATTTACACTTGCACCTGTATCACATAAAGCATTAAAATGAAATTCTTTGCTAGTGAAATAGGTAAAGTGAAACTCCCTGTGTCCTTGAGTTTTGGTGGCAATTTATTTTGCAGCCTTGCACCGCTCTTCTCAGTTAATGCCACTTCTTCCCAGTCTGGAAGCTTTCTTTTCTTAGATATCATGTCCTTCAGGAACTTTAAATACATCGGGATCTTTCGTATAGCATCGATGAATTGGATATTAACGTAGAGCTTTTTCAGCATATCTAGGAACTTTTTGAATTGATCATCGACCTTTTCCTTTTACAGTCTTTGTGGAAAAGGTAGTGGTGGCACAAATTCTTTAGTAGGACTGATTGTCTTAACCTTTTGATCCTCTTATGCACTTTTGTCTCTGCTTCTTTGTTCTGCTCAGATTCCTCCAATTGCTCATCAACCGTGGAACGTACCTTTTCTTTTGTAGCAACTGGTCTCTTTATATTAATCTCTAGCAGTTGAACTCCACTACGGGTAGTTATTGCCTCAATTTGTTGTTCCTCCACGACCTTCACTACCATTACCTATTGTTTGGGATTTATCTCAGTGTCACTAGGCAGTGTTTCTGATGGTCTCTCTGAAAGTGCTATCGCTATTTGTCCCATCTGATTTTCTAAATTTTTTATGGCAGCTCCCTGAACTTGTAAGGTTTTATCTATTATTTGTATGTATTGGGTAGATATCTCCGTCAATTTAGTAACAAGATCTTTTAACGAAGATTTTATTTTCAATTCGTTGAAAACCCGATGGTGTAGTCTGCTGTGGCGATATCTGAGCTCCTAGATTATTGTTCCATTGGAAACCTGAGTGATTCCTCCTGCCTAGATAGTAAGTGTTATGATTTTGATTGTATTGTTGTCTTTGAAAATTTTGAGCATAATTTACATCATCTACTGACTGAGCAAAAGGAGTACCCACGATGCAGTCAACACTCTCATGATTTTCTCCACAATGCTTGCATTTCGGTC